ATATTTTACTAAATTTTTTATATCCACTAAGTATGTCTTGGTTTTAACTTTTGTGCAATTTTTTTTTTACATATTCAATAAAGCAACTGATTGGACAATAAAACAAAACATGTAGCTGAAAATGTAAAAATATATTTCATCTAACAACATGAAAAATTTCTGGAATTGTCTTGTAGTGTCACTTGGAATAGCCCGTTCAAAGTCCACAAATAAAAAAAATTTTGAAATTCATGTGCATAAAAATAAGTCACCTATAGACAATGAAAACTTTGTTTCTGAGCACATCGGTAAACACTACTCTCTAGCTATTGAAATACAACTTGATCTAATATGAGACAGGACAAAATTCTGAGTGACTGCAACTAGAAAATGTCTGCAATGTATACAAATAAACTGTAACATATTTCATTACTAAGCGAGATGGCTAAAGCATCCGGATTAACTATAATGACATATCAGGTTAAATGGTGTGGCGCAACATGCTAAGAGCTAGGAATATGCTCGCCACAGCCCTGCGTGTTCGCAGGTTCAAATCCCATGGATTTCTACACTCCTCGCCACCGTAGGGTGGTTCGCATAACTGCTGATCGGTTACACCTTCCTCCCCTATCAGGTCCATGCTTCCGGAAACAAACACCTGGCTAACTAATCCCATACCCGACATGGAACGGTAACCGGATAAGAGGCCGTGGTTCGCCATATGATTAAGCTGTTCTATCGGCTTTCTTCTTGTTTTTTTTTTATTCACCATAGGTCGAATCAAAGGTCAATCATATGATTGAGCCTTCTTATCCACTTTCCTTTCCCACAGGTGAAATATGTAAATCCTGTCCTATGTTTATCAATCATTCTTATCCCCTCACTGAGAGTCTAATACAGGAGTTCCCAAACCAGGGGTCACGACCCCAAATTGGGTCTGAGTGATAAGTAGGTAGGGTTGCAAACAGGTCATGGGGTCGCTGAGGTATGGTAGAGGATGAATGTACAAATCATCTAAGATTTGACAAACCATGTTAAATTTAGCAGTTTGTAGTTTGTACCATGGCTTATTGTAAAACAGGCCCATAAGCATCGCTCTATGCTTATGCTATAGAAAATGTACAAGCTTATTGATACCACCACATGACCAAACTCAAAAGTCCAGTGAAAGAAGCTCAAATTTTCATTAAAATCTAGGCTTCTGGTCCGAGATATGATGAATGCAAATGCAAAATCTGGAGCAGATTCAATCTCGCTATTGCAGATTTAATCTCGCTATATCGCGTGCATCTAACAGACATACATACAGACAAATACCTATCATCATACTTAGCGATTAAAATCGATAAGTAATAACATCAGACAGACAATCCTATGCAGCTACGCCCACCCAAGGTGTAATAAATTAGTACAAAAAATGCCAAACCAAATAAAATTATTTTCTTACCAAAATCTAATAACTACTTATACAGAGTAAAAGGCGCCAGGATGTAATGAATTAGTACAAGAAATGCCAAACCAAATAAAATTATTTTCCTCCCAAAATCTAGTAACTACTTATACAGAGTAAAAGGCGCAAAAACTGTGAATAGAAAAAGTAAGACAAACCACCGAAAGCCCTAATTAAATGTATTTCTGTGTTAAAATCAAAGAGAATCTGAAATAAATTTCAAAATTCACTAAGTGACTTTTACCATCAATAATGTCCAACAAAATGTTAACCTATTGAAATCAGGGTTGTCCAAAACGAATCGAATATTCGAAATTATTCGAATATCAAAGTATTCGAATACCTTTTCGGCTCATTTCCGAATAATTGCGAATAGTAGTCACTTTTCGCCGTAAACACGGTGTTTCGTTTTACCGGAATCTTCAAACGACTTTTTACGCTTTCTCGCGTATTGTAATGACGATGAAATAGAGTCGGCATTTTGATTGTTTATATTCAGCGCGAATGTACGTCGCATAGTGTTGCGACACATTTGCACGTTTGCGTTGGTGGACATTGCCGACATTCGTCTTTTAATTCACAAAATCATTTCCATTAGTCGAAAAATCGACAATCACCGTATTTCCCGGCTAATAAGTCGCTTTTGCTTTTCTAGACCCAATTTTGGCTTGATTTTTTGGGGGGTGGGGCGCCTTATTGAGAAAGCATGTTTATTTTATTTCTATGTGGCCTGCTTATTTTTCGCATTAGTCTTCTCAAGCATAATTTTTGTTAACCTTATATTTGGTTCTTATGGGTCTGCCAATCATGATATTTAATCGTAGGCTGGTTATCGTTACTTAAAAGAGAAAACACGGCCACCGCCACCGAGATAAAGTAAGTGATTTATGACCTTTTGGTTTTGCCGATTCAGCAGAAAATGACAGGGACATGAAACACAGCTGTGAAATAACCCGTGGACGTACCGTGTGGAACTTATCACATTCCAAAATTATTTCAACATTCGGGTTGATAGGTTGTCCAAAATGATTGCCGCTTTATAATTTAAATTTACCGCTTCGTTGTTGAGAATAGTTAATTCCGTGAGTATGGTTCTACCAAACAAACATGATCTGGTTCTGTTCTGACCCTATAAAATTATAGATTGTTCAAAATGATTGTGATTTTTAACTTAAAATTACCGCTTTATTGTTAAAAATAGTTAATTCTGTGAGTATGATTCTACTAAACAAACGTGATCTGGTTCTAAACATTATTATTAGCGCATATTAGCATAACTGAACAACAGGGAACAATTTTTCTACCCGTCTTCTTGGAGACCTATATGGAAAACCCCCTTTTTTTGAGTGCTAAAAATATACATCGTCCTATTTGCCATGTAGACTTATTAGCCGGGAAATACGGTATTTATAGCCGTAATTGTTACGATATCCAATAAATTGTCACAAGTTTGGAAACAAGTTGATTTATTAGAAAAATACTTTCACCCGCTTTCTTGCAAATAATTTTGATAATGATGGTCAAAAGTATCGATAATGAAAGTATTAATACCAAATACCACGGGTATTTGTGGGCATGAAATGTGTGGTAAACTGCCCAATTATAATTAATTTCGGATTCGTATTTACAAAATATTAAAACTATTATAACTCAAAAACACAACGGCGATTTGTGGACTTGAATGTGTAACAAAGTATAAATTATTTTTCCGACTTGTGACAATTTTTTCGTACTCACGAAAAAATTGTCACAAGTCTGAAAAAGAACTCATACTTTATCCCGCTTTTTGACAAATAATTTGGATAATGGTTGGTATTTAGAAGTGTGGGCGTTTTACTAGGATGATTTTGTGTTGCGCAAGCATTCAAATCCATCACCGATACCACTATTTAAAATGCCTTGTCGTATTATTTTAATTCTGTTAATCAACACAACTCATGTTATTTAAAATATATATCGCAATAATCTGCAAACATGAAATGCCTGGTTATATAGCCAGGTTGTAAATAGAAGTTTTCCCATTGTTTATTGTATGAAAATTCCTTCATACACTTAGATTCTATTACTGGATTTTAATTTCGAAGTATTCGAAATTTCATATTCGAAAATAATAATTTCGAATGTATTCGAAATAGTGAACTATTCGGTATTGGCCATCCCTGATTGAAATATTAATTTGAATGTACAGCTTGGCAGAATTACTTCAGACTATAGAACCATGATGAGAATATTCAGATATCTAGAATGATGAACACGGCCAGTTGAAAAATCTGGAAAAGAACCAGTATGTCGAAAAAGTCACTAATTGGCAATAAAATAGATCTGACATAATAGGCAAACGGGCTAAATCCGGCCGACTGGGTAATTCAATTTGGCCCGCCTGCTGCTGCTAAAACCAAACTAATTTAGCTCGAGGAATTTGCTGAGATAGCGATAAAATTAAGTTTTGGCACGAGGTTCATTGTTTTCCACTTTCACTTTTGTAACACTGTAAATATTGTTCATGAAATGTAACTTCCATGTCACCCTTATTATGATGCCCTGGTCCAAAAACCTTGCCCACTACTAAATTACCGTAGATTATAAGTTTTGAAAAATTTTGTGACAAATATTTAAATGAGAATATCGGTCGGGGACCGAAGACTTATCGATCGAAACTGCGGATTCAATTCATGACTCTATAGTGACACCGCGTGTCCCATCACTAATTAATTGATAACTCGCTAATTATACGACATAATTCATTCATAATCAATAGGCTTTTGGTCCGATATGATGAATGCACATGCAAAATTTGGAGCAGATTCAACCACGCCTTCTTGAGATATCGCGTGCATCTAACAGACAGACAGACAAACACCTATCAACATACTTACCGATCTAAAGATCAATAAGTAATGATTATAACTGCCTGTATTACTAAAGAACCCATATAGAACTATCTATATTCATAATCCTGATACATCTCGGCCATTGGTCACACATAACTGATTGAACATAAAAATGCTGAAATGTGCGTCATCCAGTAAACAATCAATTTATTAAATATGCTAAATATAACAATGACAAGGACTTCAATAAACATGAGTCATCACTACATGGTCAACTAGCAAACAAAGCTATTGAAGAACCAACTGCATGTTAAAATTGACAATGCAAAGATAGTTGGATTTGGCATTTCAAAATTCTTTCGATTTTAATAAAACATTCAACTTCACTCCTGAAATCTTGCACCAGACAGACAGAGTACAAAATATCTCAAATGATTTACATATTTGAATATAGAATGACTGCATTTTTTTGACTGTCATATAACCACTGATTGAAATAATAATTTTGAATTATAAAAATGTGATATTTCTATTCCAAAAAGCTTTACAGAACAAAACAACAACGTACAAATTTTACTAACAGTTGAGGTTGCGTGAAACTAACTACCTTTCCTTGCTCTCTATGCCTTTGCACAGGTGGATCCGTATGCGTATTACGTAAGGATGCTGTAGCAAGAGTGAAAATGGCTATTCTATTCAATTCAAGAGACTTGCTGCACACATTTAACACCTTTACCAACCTGAAATTGAAAGAGAAGTCGGCATACTGATGAGCTTCCATTGTTTTACCATCCTGAAGATAGACAACGTTCGGAGCTATTCCAATATCCGACAAATTACAGACTGGTAAATCATCCGTCCAACTAACACCAGATCGATTAAGCATTCTACGATGAACGCTGGGCGATGACGAACTCGTGGACGAATGTGTACTTCCCTGTGGAGGCCGTAAAGGCGCAGCAGTCGCCATCTTCTAGATTTTAACTGTAATCGCAAAATAAAGAGTGTTCCTATTTTAAAAATTTATTCCAACTTCGAAAGTTGATTTATTTACTGGTCCAGTAGTCTATAATATGGGTAGGATTTACATATTTATCATAGGGACGAGCAAACCCAATAAAAAAGTTTAATAATATGGCAAACCACAGTCTCTCGTCGGGCTACCTGTCCATGTCAGGTATGGGATTGGTTAGCCAGTTATTTTATTTCGGAAGCATGTAATTGATCGTGGAGAGGGGGTTATGGAACCACCCTCCGGCAATGTCAGTACGGCACACTATACAAATCGGGTGACATTGTCCCGTTTCAGAAAAACCCTATTTTTAGATGATCAGACCCCTCCTTCGGGAGACATCTGGACATTGTTGTCCCTCAATATTAGTAATAATACAGTATGATAAGGTCGCGCAAAATACTACAAAAAAGCGCAATCTGGTATCGTCATCATTGAATTCCTTGAAAAAAAATAATCCGCTTTACCAGAGAAAAAAAAATTTTCGTAGCATTCAAGAGTTTTTAGCAAAAAACGGCAATTTTGGTCATGTGACGGCCGCGAATAATTTAGATTATTATTGAGACAAGCATGGCGCGATATGAAGCATCTGTCGTGGTCCCAGACGCCCCTCGTTTATGAGACACATGGAGTGTTTGTTTTATTGAGGCAAATTCTTGGAATTTGGAAAGTGTGCTGTACTGGATGTGGAGTCCAGCGATCCTCTCGCACATAATCAACCCTGCATGAGATTCGAACCTGCAAACCCAAGAAGGATAACCAGAGACGCGGTGGTCAGCATATCCCTGAAGATTAGCACGATGCGTCGATATGTATGTTGCCCCTTCAAATTGAGATGATAAAGAGATATTTACCCAGAGCTGGAGCCGCAGGGTCATTGTGTTTAATGCAGCTCATCCTAATAGTTGGATCTGGCGCTGCCAAAAATGGTGGCTTATGAATGTTTTTAATATTTACTTTCCAACATTATTTTGAAAAGTTCAAATTAAATTTGTATAATTCATAGTTCACAGTTTTATAATAAGTTCAAAAACTTTACGTCTCACTGCTGTATTTTGGCTAATGTCTGAATGTTTCATAGCAATGGTTATAATGAAAACATCATTGGCAATCAGAAGGACACAGTTCTTCGATTCCAAGATTGCCAGACTATTTGTTCAATTAAATAAATACTCTATTTGATCCTGAAACGAGTGAGTCAGGCATGATGGAGGATGCGTCAGATTGCACCACGCTCGTCTCGATAATGATCTAAATTGAACGTGGCCGACACAAGACCAAAATTGTGTTCATTTTGCTGAAAACGCTCAAATGCATATTTATGCAGCATGTTTGCATGTATATTTACTTGTATTAAACCTTTATAGAGGTTTTGCCAGTTCCCCCAATTTTCCTAATCTTCTGTGCATTCATTGTTTGGTTTTTGTGTATGATATTTTTTACGAGAAAACCAAAATATATTTATATGCTACTGTAAAAAATTTTTCATCAATACATTTTTTTATGAGGAATCCTATGGTGAGGTTTTATATTGCGCTTCCCTTTTAGTTTATTGCGCAGAACTGGTTTGCCTAATTACTGAAACAGGGCTATTTATGGGGCCCAAACTGTCTCGTAAACCAGAGGTTTGCACTCACCGTTTTATCCTAATTTACGGTCTTCTGCCAGACTGCCGTCTGGGTCGGACGTGTTTTTGTTGCTCTGTTAGATGAAAGATCAATCAATGCTGTTGGACTGAGAATGCTACGCGCTGTGTGTTTCGGTATTTACTATTAGATTTGTATCTCGTGATATCAACATGATCAAGGCCCATCCACCGGAATTAAAGAAGTTTATGGATAAAAGATTGGATTTAAAGTTTGTGTTTGGCAGTCGTCGGGTGCGGTCGCATTTTTGAACGGCGCAGAAAGATTAGATTGACAACAATGAACCAGCACTTAAGGAATATCAACAAGTAAAGGCCGAAATATGAAATTACATGGCAGCATAAAGACAACATACGGACATCATAACAGAATCGAAAGATAAATACAACAGGGATTGATTCAGATATTTTATTTTGTGACAAAGAGTATGATATAGGCCTACTGCTATTTCTAGAAATTCCGCTTGAATACTGAGTATTCAACTATATATGTGTAAATAGTTTGCAGTGTAACTTACAGTGTAACATTTTTAAACATTCATTTAGTGGCATATTTTTGATTTGTTCTCTCTGTGTGTATACCGGTACTGTTTTTAACAATGTTGGCCACGTCAATGTATCAATTAGGCTACAGACCTGCTCACGTGTGATTAGTGTTTTTCCTAATAATTGCTTTTATGAGTGTCCACACACCGAATTTGCCGCCATGGTTTTGCGTTTGTTTGTATATGAAACCACTTATCACCTTTTCCGCAATGCCCAATCTAGCAATCAGTGTAGTTTTTCGTGGCTTGGTTTTTCCCAAAGCTTTCATGGCTTCATGAGTATGACTATCGTCGCAAATTTATTACATTCCACTCCCCACATTATCTTTGCATGAGGTTGTAGGTATTGGTCATTATCAACGTAATTGTTGAAAGAGAGTACAACAGCCCGAAAGTTTATTACTATCGTGTATTTTGTTTTTTAAGTTTGGCCCAAGCTTCATTTAATTGGGCTTGTGTTTTTGTGTGCGTGCTGGTGGGCAGGCACATGAGATACTTCATGTTTTAAACTTTTTTGCAGGTTTTGCTTGCCCTCCAGAATTCTCCATTTTAAATTTAGGTTTGTTATGGAGTTTTCGAAATAAACTATCTATCTATCTATTTCAATGTGGGGACCATTCTTGAAATTGGAGAACCGTACCGGTACAGCTGTACAGGCTATAGACAGATCTGCAGATAGAGGCCTAATTTTATAAATACAGAAATAGAAGCCATAGTGGAGCAAAAAACGTCGCAGTTCAGTAGCTCGTAGTCTAGTCTAGTACGGTACCGGTACCGGTAGCGATCTATACTGAAAAACTTTTTATTGTTTGCTATTTCAGTATTTTTTTTCTGGTTTACGAAAAATAAATTTCTCTCTCTCTCGTATCCTTATCTAAGACTATCGGTACTGCACTAGTGCACTATATATTTTATGTCAATTCACAATAAAAATTTTTTCAAATACAGACATAAGTAAACGTTAGCACCTACCGTAATCTGGGAATCAGCTGAGCATTAAAGGGCGGCCCGTTCGACGGCAAAACAAGTGCAAAAACAATGTTCTCGATGACCGGAGTCTATAGCCGTATTTACATAACACAAATGGGACAGACATAAAATATACTTGAGACTTGAAATGAAAAATTAATTGCATAACATAAATAACAGTTTACCAATAATATGAATAATAACAACCAAGAATCTAATAATTATTTTTTATTTAATATTTCTAAATTTTATACTCAGTCAAAACCGGATTTAAAATAACGACTTGCGTAATCTACATAAAAAAAAAAAAACATTTGTAAATTTTTGTACCTAAAAATTTTATTTTTGATAATTTCAAACGAGAGTTAGGAGGATTTACATATTTATCCCGGGGGAGAGGAAAGCCGATAAGACGGCTTATCCATATGGCGAACCACGGCCTCTCGTCCGGTTACCATTCCAAGTCGGGTATGGGATTAGTTTTTTACTGTATTGTTTGTTTTTTTCGGAAGCATGGACTTGGTGGTGGAGGAAGCCGTAACCGACCAGCGGTTACGTGAAACGATTAAGAAACGATTAGTCTTATTCGACCAAGAAAATACCAAACAAGCCCATGCAACTGGAACAAATATCTGGCTAACTGATCTCCTACCCTGCATAAACTGGTCGTAATCTGACGGGGGGCCGTGGTACACCAGATAAAGAATTAAGCTCCCCCCCCCCTGCAAAAAATATCAAACTAATCAATCATGCTAATGCTCAAAACAGATAGGTGTTGTGGCATTTCGAAGTTTAATTTGAATTTTGTTGTTCTTTTTGTATGATTGTGTCTAATTACTAAGTAAGCATTTAGGTAATATTCCATAGTCATTGTGGCATCTGTAGTTTATTTCTTATTCTTTTTATTGTTATTTCTCATATTATTGTGCCTAATTAAGTAAATGTTTAATATTGGGTTGTTCCGTTGCTATATTTGCTGCTTCAAATCAGCTTCAAAGTGTCGTTGACTGGTTGACTTGTGGACTGATGAGTCTTTCGCGACACCTCGTCCACTGCAACAAGCCGATATCTATTTCTGTAATTTGTTTCATGCATTTTATTTATTTCATATTGTTCATTGGTTTTCCACGACGTAAATGAATATCTGAATCTGAAGGTAGATATTCGGATATGAACCTTCACAGGGAAATATAGAAATGTAGAAAATCTGCAATAGAATCCAACGGTTATGCATTTATTTTAGTATATTAGAAACTGATCGACCATACTTTACATTGATTAGATTATATTTCATCATAATTCGGAAAAATATGGCGTGTGGCTTTGACGTAGATCCAGAGCGAATAGAAAGGTACATCGCACGTGCAATTTACTGCGTTTCATTTTTAGTGCATTAGGCGGGGTGGCATGTTTTACCTGTCACTGGGCAAAACTTGTCGGGTTTTTCGTTTTATTATCAGTTTGTATAATATCGTTTTATTCTGTAAAAGAACATAACGCCGCGCCAATTTCAAGATTTTTCGTGAGATGTTTATTAAATTTAGAAACAGTAAACCAGATATAGGGCGGTCAGTTAGCACAAGAGGTAAAATATGATCAAATCGATGAATCGTCTTCCAGTCTTTGTATTCCTTTACTGACAGTCAGAATTGGGGTTTACGGATTCGCTCTTTTAATTATCTAACGCACATTATTGACAATGATTGCAGAATTACTGTCCCTTTTTTTTATAAAAAGAACTAAACTGAACCACGATTAGAAACAGGATATCATATTATTTTCCAAATCCGCACATTTAAGAGTTAAAGGAGCGCACACTATAGTCCCAGTTGAACGACAGCCTACATTAAAACGTCAATACACCTGCTTCGAATCAACGCAGTATGTTTAAAGTAATAATTATTTCGGGGTAATTATTTTTGTCGTGGGCTGTTAAGCGTGACGTTGTTAGATAACCAAGTTTCTGGTCAGCTTGGTCCTTGTAAGTGACGGTGGCGCAGGAGAAACGCAGAAACGTTGTCAAACATCAGGTCAGGCACGAGCGCAGGTTCGAAACTCACGGGGTAGATCGAGTTGTAGCAGAGGGCCAGCAGACAGGTTAGCCAGGTGGTTGAGAAAAAAAAGGACAGACGGGCTGTGAGCCGTAGAAGAGAAGACCAGCAGTTGCGCAGAGCAAAGAGATAGCATACCCAGCCGCAGGATAGGGAGTAAGAACCAGCCGGCCCGTCGATGAAGGAGATAGCAGACAAAGCCGCAGGATAGCACCGCCAGACAAGACAGGCAGGCCGTCGAGAAAAGAAAAGGCAGACCGAGCTGCAGTAGAGGACCAGCACGTGCACCGAGGAAAGAAAGGGCAGCAGATCCAGCCACCAGGATATGCTCAGCAGACAAGACGAGAGGAAAGACGGCCGAGAAAAGAAATGGCAGGCAGGCTGATTCGCACAAGAGAGGAGCGCCGAGCAAGGGACGCTACCAGCAGACTGGTCGAGGAGAGAGGAAATAGGCCCGGCCAGCAGGCAAGGACCAGAAGGAAAGTTGGTCAGGAAATGGTACAATCGAGCTGCCGGAGTGCAAGCAAGAAGAATGTGACGATGAGAAGAAGAAACGACGTGCGTACCAAGCAAGCGTGGGGTGAATAAAAAATTTAAATAATATAAATATAAAGTGAGAAAAACAACGAAGCCCCAGAGCAGCCGAGGAAAAATTAAAACGTCAAATTTCCGTCCAATTTCATCGCTCCTTTTAAGCAAGAAGTTTCGAATAACGAACGCCAGCCGAGAACAAACGTTTGAAGTGTTTCTCACAACAATACCGAAATTTACTTATTTAATTCCAGACGGAAAACTAATTCTAGTTATCGAGCAGCGACACGGAAGCTTCTAATATCTAGGTAAAAAGATCGGGTAATTTAATTATAGAAATATTATTACCGAACACCAATGTTTTTTCATACTCCATAACTCAGCAATTTTAAAAGCATTCGCACTTTGAGTATTGCTGCTCAGTCAACATGTTTTGGGTTTCCTGTGGCTTTTCTTCCCCACTAAAACTGTAAGTGCTATTTTCTCGTTATTTGCACACAATTTGTTTTGTACTGGTTGAAACTTACTTGATTCGGGGAGAGCTACGAGGAGGAAAGGGTGCCTGCCATGTGTGTCAGCCTCACACAAACCAACAAATAAAATATTGAAAAATAATTTTTTACTTGAATTACCAGTGGTAATAGTACATCTCCATGCAATAGGCTTCATACAGCTATTCTTTGGACGTATGTTTACCCATATGCTAAAACAATTTTAATGAATAACGTAGTAATCTTACGTGTGTTGAACATATTGTTGTTTGTATTGTTGTTGCGACTGGCTGTAGACCTTACTTTGTTTCAGTGCTATCTCACGCACATTGTGCGGTGGTGGTTATGATATATTATAATAACGAACAGCGTAGTAACATTGCGTATACTTCAATATGATTAATACTTTTGCGAAATAACTACGAAGATATCCAAGAATTTTCAGTTTAGCGAGGACTTATTCGCCAAGTGGTGAAAGATAAAGAATTTGTTGTAAAATTTAAAAACGTCAAAACGTTTTGAAATATTATTATACTGTATACTATTTGGGAATACTGCTATTCATACTCATGATATTTGACAGAGTGCTAGTCCGTGAAGTTATTAATTGAAAGAAGGCGTATAGACAACTAGTTCTCAAACGGGGCGCGCCCGCAAGTAAGACGTAGACAATTTTTTAGTGGGCGTGAAGCTAACTAAAAAATAAAAATATTTGTTCGATATTTACATTTTATTATTATGGATATTAACGTTCCATTCACGTATTTTCAACCTGTTTTTTGAATAAAACATTCGCCTTGCTATCTGTTATTTGTAGCTTATTGATAGCTAGTCACTTTCGAAGGCACGCGCGAGACTTGACAAATTCTAAAAAGGGAAGCGCGGCCTAAAATTTTTTAGAACCACTGGTATTGATATTTATAGATCACATTTTCACAATACGATTTTTGTTAAGTGATTCGAGAGTCTTGCTGCACACTAACAGAAATATATTTGTGTTAGTGGGCAGCAAGACTCTTGAATCACTTAGGTTAGTTATCTTTACTCTTGCTGCAGCATCCTTGCAATATATGCATACGGATCCACCGGCACAAAAGCATAGAAGAAGGATAAGTAGTTAGTCTCGCAGAAACCAAATAATCAGAACGATTTTTATTGGTCAGATTTTTATTTTGAATGGGGGATAATGTATATCAAGGTAAAACAGTGAATAGTATGTTTTTACTCCTTACTATTTAAAAAAAAAAAAACGCAGTCTATTAGCATAATACAAGCAAGATGAAAAGTAAGTCGTCCTTCGAATGTTTTAGGTATATTTATTTAAGATACCGGTATAATTGAATTGTTACATTTGCCCAAACTGTTATAATGATGTAACAGTTGGCGGTATCCAGAACGCAAGGAAGTTAAAACATAAAGTGTTAAACTCTTTTAATCAAATTTGGTGGCCCATATTTAATCGTTACGGGGGTCGTAATTGGCCCGCGAGATGCGTTTTGGGAACCGCTGCACAAGATAATTGAATGAAATTTATTAAAAGATAGCAAAGAAGAGTTGCAGAAGCTCAGAAAAAAATATTATTCATGTTCTTGAGTGCCTCAACGGAACTTTTTTTTTTCGATTAAATATTCAGATTAAGTAAAGATTAGTCAACGTGCGACAACTGAAGCAATGTATTGTTTCAAAATAGCATTCTTATGGGTCGTTTTCACACTTGCCAGATGCGAAGACAGTTTGGACATTTTCGATGGTAATTACCTGTCTCCAGCAGTACCTGACTCGCCCGAAGCCAGATACAACTACCTAGACGCAAATTATAAGTCTATGAAAGACTTCTTCAGCGAAATGACAAGATTAGTTGAAGCCATGCAAAGCGAAGGATCGGGAGGTTTGACTTTAATTCAATACAATGATCAGGTATTTTACGGGATATCCCCATTGGCTATGTCCCCC